TTTTGTTTTGTTTTGTTTTGTTTTGTTTTGTTTTGTTTTGTTTTGTTTTGTTTTGTTTTGTTTTGTTTTGTTTTGTTTTCCTTAAATGGCAGTAGGGAAAAAAAGAAAGGTGTTTCCCCTCTTGCATAAGTTAAGATGCTTTCAGCTGTAGGAAAAGGAATTTGAAATCAACCAGTTTAAACAGTTAATAAATCTATATCCAAGAGAGCCAGGTGGTGTAGGTGGCTGGATCCCACTTGACTGACTATGTAGTTTGAGCCCTTGGACTGACACAGTGGCTTAAACAACACAATGAACATGTGTGCCCCAAATCCAAAGAGGCCGGAGAAGGGATTACTTTGAGGTTATCCCTCCTGTTTGGTGAGTTCTCACTCTCACCTCTCTCTCTGTCTTTGACAAGAGAACATGTTCAATAGTAAATTTTTAAGAAAAAGAAGAAAGAAAGAAGAAAAAAAGGAAGAAAGAAAGAAAGAAAAAGAAAAAAAAAAAAAAACCCTGTACCTTTCAGGACTTAAAATCACTGTTACTTTCCCCTGAACACTCGAACCTAGCCTTTCCATAGATTTGACTTTAGGGCAAGCTCTCGCTATACAGGACAGAATCTGGGTGATGATGAGACTGCTGAGCACCCAGAGAAATCGGTGACACACACGTGAGCGTGTGTACCAGAGAGCACAGAGCGCACCGACAGCAAGGGCGAGGCACACACCCCCAACCCCGCCAGCCCACAGCAGCCTTCGATCTGCTGGAGATGTGGTCTCAGCTCTCCCTGAACACAGCGCGGGCCGGCACTCCTGGGACACGGATGAGCATGAGGGCGGAACAGCAGCGAGTCCCAGGAGCCCCTTGAAGGCCCTACCAAGAAAGCACGCTTTGTTTAGAACAGTAGCTGCCTTCCGGATAATAATTCTCAACACACCCTTAAGTTCTGAAACAAGGGGGTATATTTATTCACAACTGCTACAGAAATCCAATATGCAGACTAGAAAAAGCGTGGCCTTGGAACGCTGCCTGCACAAACATCGAACTGAACCAGAACATGGCGTATCTGCAGCAATGTCACCATCTCAACAGAAGCGTTAGTGCCTCTGTCTGTTCTTTAAAGATAAGTCCTTCTTGGGACCAGCAGATGGCATAATGGTTATGTTGCTGGACTGCCATATGACCGACCGTCGGTGACATCCCAGACCTGGTGGCTTGAAACTCACACGAGGCACATGTGTGTGCATGCCCAAAATCCCAAGAGGAGAATGGAGAAGGGAATGCAACATGGTCATCCCCACTGGGGGGGTGATGATTTCTCACTCTCTGTCTCTTTGTCTCTCCAACAAATGCACACGCCCTATAACAAAAATCTCTTTTAGTGAGGGGAAATTAAACAAAAATTTAAAAAAGTTGAGTCTTAATCTGGAGCAAAACCAAACTACCGTGAGAAAAAGTAACCTTCCTCAGGAAGGCTGTGCCAGTATTATTTAAAGCCTTCAACGGTCCCAAGAGCCATGTCTGCCAACTTTTCTAAGAATTCCCCTCACACGCAGCTCCCTCAACTATGCCAAAGTCCCAAGGCCATTTGGCCAAGGGCTGGAAGGGCTGTTTGCTTCCTGAATAACTTTCTTTTTTTCCCATTTATCCAAATTCTACCTTTATTAAATCCTGTATACCTGGCTAATTCCTTGTCCTAGAAGCTGGTGTTTCCTAGATAAGAAGACAGCTTTCTCTTTCACGGTTAGCACTTACCATTCCTAAACAGTACCCAGAGAATAGTCCACACTGCAAAAGAGAAACTTAAAACCGGGGCCCACCCATAGCCTAGTGATTAAGGAGAAGGGTTCTACATGGCTGAGCAGGTGTTTCCAACCCTGGTCCAAGCGACTTGAACAAACACCCTGGGTGCATGTGCACGCACGTCCAAAATCCCAATAGGATAGAATAATGGAGAAAAATGGACTGTGGCATGACCACAAAGCAAGTCCCAGTGGGGTATGCTTCCTCTCTCTCTCACTGAGGAGAATGCATGTCCTCAGAGCCAGCGGGGGCACGGTTGGTGGTTATGGTGCTAGATTCTCACGTGGCCGACCATGGTTCAAGACTCAAACTCAGTGGCTAGAAAATCACAACAAATAAATAGACAAATAAATCAACTTTAAAAACAAAAACTTAAGAAGAATATATACCTTCTATCATTAAAAATAAACACCGTAAGAAATAAATATTTAAGCGTAAATTAACTAATGAATAAATTAACTCGAACTCTAGGACCAAGATTCTCTCCCTTACCAGTGACTGCTTACGTAGTCAGGCAGAGCTCTCAGTTCATTGTGAAGCAATGACGCAACCAACAACCGCAAATGGCCTCTAGTAGACACCGAGTCTAGAATCCCGTCATCACACAAACCAGGAATGGGGCCGCCATCCACTGGAGACCCGGGGAAAGGCAGAGCACCCTTCAGGAAGAGCCCGAGGTCTGCAAACTGCACCCTGTGGCCTCGCCTGCAGGCCGGGAAGGTTAGGAGGCTGGATGGGGGCTCTTTCCCATGCTGGGTCATGCACACGTGACTGAGTCACTGTGGCCTTCATGGTTGACCTCCAAAGCCAAGTCACACATAAGGAAGAAAACTCTACGGGAGCCTTGTTTCAAGTCACGCAATAGTGGAAAGAAGAAAAGAGTGATACTAGGGAGTGGGGGGTCAGTGTGGAGTTCAGAGAGGGCATCTCAGAAAACCCTGCCCGGGCTCTGTGGAAACAGAGCAGCACCAGGTCCTGTCGGCTGCACACACTGCAACAAGAAGCTGCCAGACGATTCACCTTATCACCCAGCAACTCGCACAAAAAAACACCCAAGAAGCTCTAAGTGAATCTGTCATTTTGCACCCAGGTAGGCTGGCATGTAGCCATACACGACGACTCAACACCCGGGAAGCCAGAGTCAACGCTGTGAAAACACGTCGTATAAAAGGTGGCCAACTCAATATAATCGTAGGAGATGAACCAATGCACAAGAGACCTGGAACACCACCGAAGCCACTTTCCCAGAGGACCCTGTGGCCAAACGTTCTTCCTCACACGGTTTCTGTGGGACGATGTCCACTGAGCTGTACTAACCCTGCTAAAAATAAACAGCAGAATACACTCGGACAGGAGTTCCCGTCCAGGCTTCCAGGATCCATGTGATAACAGTGCGGGAAGAGGGACACGTCGGGAACTGCAGGAA